CTTGGTAAGAAATGTACGCATTATCCTGCCCATGTAATTGTAACCCCTCTGTACAGTATGTTCACAAATAAAATTAAATTAAATTAAAAAAAAGAAATGTATAAAACCAAATATCTGAGCCAGGTGCTGGTGGCTCACACCTGTAATCTTAGCTACTCAGGAGGCTGAGACCTGAGGATCACTGTTCGAAGCCATCCTGGGCAGGAATGTCTGTGAGACTCTTATCTCCAACTAACCACCAGAAAACCAGAAAACCAGTGCCTATAATTGTAGCCACTCAAGATGCTGAGATCTGAGGATACAGTTTGAAGCTAGCCCAGGTATCAAAGCCCATTAGGTGCTTATCTCCAATTAACTATCAGAAAACCAGAAGTGGAGCTGTGGTTCAAAGTGAAAGAATGCTAGCTTTGAGCAGAAAAGTGCAGAGATAGAGCTCAAGCCCTAAGTTCAAGCTCTACAACAGACAAAAAAATAAATGAAAAAAAAATTAAAAATTATAAAAAAAAAATCTGGAATTTGGGTACCAGTGGCTCATGCCTTCAATTCTAGCTTCTCAGGAGGCTAAGATCTGAGGATCGTCGTTCAAAGTCGGCCCAGGCAGGAAAGGTCTGTAAGACTCTTATTTCCAATTAACTACCAGAAAACCAGAAGTGTTGCTTTGGTTCAAGTGGTAGAGCACTAGCCTTCAGCTGACCATGACCAAATAAATAAATAAATAAATAAAATCTGGTTCTAAAGGTTCTTTTCCTGTCTGGTTCTTACTCTACATCTTAATCTCTGGAGAAAAAATAAACAAATCCTGAAATATTAACATGGAAAAGCTGATGTTGAAGGAATAAAAACCACAAGCTACACTCTAGGTTTCCTTTGTGATATTTGCAGAATTAACTTACAACCTTATAGCTAAGTGTCATTCTAGCAGGGTTGGTATGTGGCTCAATGGTAGAGCACTAGCCTATTATGCTCAAGAGCCTAGTTTCAATCTTCAACAATATTAACAACAAAAAAAGAAACCCAAACCAAACTAAATAAATAATTTATAAATATGGTATACACAAGGGGGACTTCTGGTACATGCAAGGGAGGAATCTAATGGTATAATACCTATGAACTAACTTCCAGTTAAACTAAATACCATGAAGCTGTAATATGTGTTGTTGTAAGGCATAAAGGAAGGGTCAGACATATGGAGAGAGAAAGTGTGGGGGAAAAAAATTGTTAAGACTCAAAGTACAGCTACGAAAATGGAACCAGGCAACTTGAGTGGACAGAGTAGGGAGAGATGGAGGAGAACAATGGAAGGGCTGGGGAACATTGATCAGGATATGTTGTACTCACAAACTGACATGTTGAATTGAAACATCTTTGTACAACTATTTCATAAGTAGATAGGATCTATTCCCAATCCATATTAGGTACAGTGTCATGTGCCTGTCATCCTAATCTACAACTGAAATGATTACAGCTTTATGCCAAACTGAGCAGAAAATTTCATGAAACTCCATCTCAATAGAGGGAAGCTGGATACAGTGGTGTGGGCCTTGCACTCCAGCAATTAGGAGATGCATAAAACAGGCAGATAGTGGTCCAAGAGTGTACCTGAACATGAAATGAAACCTCTCTTAAAGCTTACCAGTGAAGGGTTGGGAAGGTGGCTCAGTGGTAGAGCGCTTGCCTTGCATGCATGAGGCCCTGGGTTTGATTCCTCAACACCACATAAGCAAAAAGAAAAAAGCTGGAAGTGGCGCTGAGGCTCAAGTGGTAGAACGCTAGCCTTGGGCTGAAGAGATGAGGGACAGCGTCCAGGCCCAGAGTTCAGGCCCCACGACCAGATCTCCCCCGCCCCCCCCTCCAAAAAAAAAGCTTACCAGTGAAGCCGGGGGCTGGTGGCTCATATCTGTAATCCTAGCTACTCAGGAGGCTGAGATATGAGGATCACGGTTCAAAGCCAGTCCAGGCAAGAAAGTATGAGAGACTCTCATCACCACTTAATCACCAGAAAACTGGAACTGCCGCTGTGATTCAAAGTGGTAGAACGCTAGCCTTGAGAAAAAGAGCTCAAGGATACTGCCCAGGCCCCAAGTTCAAGCCCCAAAAGTAACAAAAAATAAATTAATAAATAAATAACCAGTAAGTTTGGCACTGGTGACTTCAAACCCATAATCCTGGGCTGGGAAGGTGGCTCAGTGGTAGAGTGCTTGCCTTGCATGCATGAGGCCCTGAGTTCAATTCCTCAGCACCCACATAAGCAGGAAAAGCTGGAAGTAGCCACTGGCTTACCACTGTGGCTCAAGTGGTAGAGTGCTAGCCTTGAGCTGAAGAGCTGAGGGACAGCGCCCAAACCCAGAGTTCAGGCCCCACAACCAAGAAAAAACAAACAAACAAACAAAACCCTATAACCCTAATTACTTAGGCTGAGATCTGAGAATCATGGTATGAAGCCAGTCCACACAGACAAACCTAACTTTTATCCAGCAAAAAGCTGGAAGTAGAGGCATGGTTCAAGTGGTAGAATACCAGCCTTGGCCAAAAAAAGCCAAGCAAGAACTAGAGGCACTGAGTTCGAATCCCATTACTGTCATAAACACACACATACAAAAACCTAATGAAAATTAGGGCTAGAGATGTGGCTCAGTAGTAGATACAAACAATATCTACTGATAAGGAAAAAAATGAGATGAAAAGTAGATACATACAGTTTATAAATACCTGATGCGACTATCATCATTTGTTTGGATACATTCTTTTTTTATTTTTTTGGCCAGACCTGGGGTTTGAACTCAGGGCCTAAGCACTGTCCCTGAGCTTCTTTCTGCTCAAGGCTAGCACTCTGCTACTTGAGCCACAATGCTACTTCCGGCTTCTTCTGTATAAGTGGAACTGAGGAATCAAACCCAGGGCTTCATGCATGTGAGGAGAGTACTCTACCACTAAGCCACATTCCCAGCCCAACACATTCTTTTTATAGGAACCTTACAGTTGAAGTAGATTTGGACCCTGAAAAAATAAAAGAAGGGCCACATTTTCAACTCTTTGACATACCTGCAATGGTGGAGATTTGGCTTACTGGGATAGTGGCAGCCTTCTGCAAGTCCATCTTTATTTTCTTCATCTGCCAGAAGAGAATAGTGAGAATGCAGATGCAGTTTTGAAGGGATAAATAGGTATCATTTTTTTTTGACTAGGGACATGACACACCATCTATATTCCTTTGGAACATGAGACTATTTGACAATCATCAGGCCCACAGAATTCCTGCCCTTCAGTCCTCCCCTACCTGACTGTCCTTGCTGCTGGTCAGGCTGTCAAAGGACAATACACACTGAGCAGAAGCCTCCTGCAGCTGCTGGTACCACTGCATGGTACTGTCTTGTACTTTCACCTGGAGGTCTGGGGAATAAGCAACTAGTATTTACTGAATTATCTTATACAAGTTAAGAATATTCTACTCACTTCATTTGTGGACACAGTAACACTATAAAGTTATTTTTTATATATAAACACTATATAATATATAAAATACATATATATTATAATACATACATATATGGCAGTATTAGACACAAAGCTTCATGTTTGCTAGGTCCTTGAGTCACAGCTTAGGCTACTTTTTCAGTTTTTTTTTTCACAACCAGGGACTGAATAACAGTTATTATCACATCCATTTCATGGACAAAGAATTGGCATGGGATGTGCCAAAGACAGATTACCTCCGGAGTTCTTAAGTTTAAACACTATGTTACATGAATCTCATAAATAGTAAACAAATATATACCTGCTCATATTTATTTAAAGTCACCCTAGGCTAAATGTTATACATTATATACAAATTCTGACAGCCAAGTGACATGGCTCATGCCTGTAATCCTAGCTATTCAGGAGGCTGAGATCTGAAGATGATAGTTCAAACCCCACCCAGATAGGAAACTCTATGAGATTCTTATTTCCAATAAACCAGCAACATACCAGAAGTGGAGCTGTGGTTCAAGTGATGAGTGCTAACCTTGAACAAGAAAGGTCAGGGACAGAACCCAGGCTCTAAGTTCAAACTCCAGTTCTAGCAGCAAAAAACAAAACAAAACAAAAATATTCTGGCTGTGCTACTGTATGGTTTTTCACATTATAGAAGGTAAAAGAAGCTGGGCGCTGGTGGCTCACACATGTAATCCTAGCTACTCAGGAGGCTGAGATCTGAGGACCATGGTTCAAAGCCAGCCCAGGCAAGAGAGTTGGTGAGACTCTTATCTCCAATAAACCACTAGAAAACCGGAAGTGGTGCTGTGGCTCAAGCAGTAGAGCGCTTGCTTTGAGCTGAAGAGCTGAGGGATAGCGCCCAAGCCCAGAGCTAAGGCCCACGACCAACAACAACAACAAAAAGGTAAAAGATCATATTCACACTAAAACCTACCTTCATTTTGGGTCCCTCCTGGGTCCTGGCTGGGGACTGGGGTTGGCGTGGGGGTCCCAGACCCCTGTTGCATCTGGGATTCTTGCAGCTTGGCTTGAGCTTCCTCTTCATCCTGCCGTTTCTTGTCTTCACAGGCTCTGGTGATTTCCTGGCCCAAGTTTGTGACAAGCTCCCGCATTTCCTGCACGGCTCGTTCAGCCTCAGCCTGGTTTTCTGCCGTGGGATAGCCACTCTATCAGAGAGGTACAGACAGTACTAAGTGCCCAATTCAACAACAAGCAGTTCGTATCAAAAATATTAAAGGAGCCGGGCGCCAGTGGCTCACCTGTAATCCTAGCTATTCAGGAGGCTGAGATATGAGGATATAGTTCAAAGCCAGCACAGGCAGGAAAGTCCGTAAGTGGTTTATCTCCAATAAACCACTAGAAAACCGGAAGTGGCGCTGTGGCTCAAGTGGTAGAGTGCTAGCCTTGAGCTGAAGAGCCGAGGGACAGCGCCCAAGCCCAGAGTTCAAGCCCCATAACCGACCAAAAAAAAAAAGAATATTAAAGGAACTTTACAACTTTGGGGGGGTGTTGGGGAGGTGGGGTGGGAAGAGATGGTAGGAGAAAGACAAAGGAGGGGGGTAACAATGCTTGATAGGAAATGTACTCATTACCTTACTCACGTAACTGTAATCTCTCTGTATAGTATCTTTACAATAAAAAATATACATTAAAAAAAAGGGAGGGCTCCGGGCTGGGAAGGTGGCTCAGTGGTAGAACGCTTGCCTTGCATGCATGAGGCCCTGGGTTCGATTCCTCAACACCACATAAGCAAAAAGAAAAAAGCCGGAAGTGACGCTGTGGCTCAAGTGGTAGAGCGCTAGCCTTGAGCTGAAGAGCTGAGGGACAGCGCCCAGGCCGAGAGTTCAGGCCCCATGACTGGA